AGTCAATGAAGCCAGGAGGTTGCTCCATATATACTGGTTCAGAAAGATACCCATGGAGGAATGCATTCTTAACATCAAGTTGTCGAATTGTCCAACCTTTCATGCATGCCGTAGTGATGACAGTGCGTATGCTTGCTGGTTTGACAATAGGAGAGAACGTTTCTAAGAAGTCAAGCCCTTCAATTTGGTGAAATCCCTTGGCAACCAATCGAGCTTTCAGGCGATCCAAGTTCCCATCAGGTTTTAACTTGGTTTTAAAAACCCATTTACAACCTACCACATTCATGTGAGCCTCCCGTGGGACAAGATCCCATGTATCATTTATTTTAAAGCATGTAGTTCTTCATGCATGGCAGCTTTCCACCCATCGTTCTTCAATGCCGATATCACGGTTTTTTGTTATGTTGGAATTTCTTTGTGAAGGTAGGCATATCGAGGGTTCGGCTTGGTGATTCCTCGTTGAGCTCGAGTAACCATGTTATGAGTGCGAGACAATTCAACTTCTGGTCTGTTGGAACTCGTGAATTGATCATCAGAATTATTTGGAGGGAGGCTTGAATTTTGAGCACCATTTTGATTTGTCTCCATTTCCACGTGTATGGAAGGTAAATCATCATCATGATGGCCATCTTGAGATGGATTCAATTGTCCAGTGCATGATTTCACATTATGAGATTGAGTCAACTCGGTCGGCTGGCTTATTGTTGATTCCATGGTCTCTGTGGTTGGTTATTCATTAAGCCTGTTGTCATCTTGTGAGCCGCAATTCATTTCCAGTTGTTCAATCGGGGTAGAGCTTTCCTGTGGCAAAAAAATTAATGATGGATCAGAGATGTGAAGGTTTGAGTGATTTACTGTCTCCTGCTCCAGTTGAGTCTCGATCCATTCATTGTATGTGGACAGCTTTCCTCCAATTTTACTTGTATCATATAGTGCGCATGGATTTTTGAAAGGGACCTGCATTTCATCAAAGACAACATGACGTGAGACAAAGATTCTATTTGTTGGGGGATATAGACATTTATAACCTTTGTGCTTTGTACTATATCCAAGAAAAATGCATGGAAGTGATTTAGGTTCCAACTTATTCTTTTGGTAATCCCCCAAAAATGGAAAGCACTTGCACCCAAGAACACGTAAGGAGCTATAATCTGGATGCTTCTGAAAAAGACGAAAATATGGTGAGTCCATTTTTAATGTAGGAGATGGCAATCTATTGATTAGAAACACAACTGTGCTAAAACATTCAACCCAATATTTAGAAGGAATATTAGCATGAAACATCATAGTGAGTCCTAACTCAGTAATATTGCGGTGTTTTCGCTCAGCAACTCCATTTTGTTCTGGTGTCTTTGGACATGCAGATTGATGATGAATGCCTAACTTATCTAACAATGCGGAAAAATTATTACTTCCAAATTCTCCACCTTCATCGCTTTGAAAAATTTTTATTTTGCTATTAAATTGACATGCAACAAACTCATAAAAATGGATAAAACAATCATAGAATTCTGACTTTTTCTTCAATGGATAAAGCCAAGTAAATCGAGTGCAATCGTCTACAAAAATCACATAATATCGAAAACGATTTGCTGACTTGACAGGGGTAGGACCCCATAAGTCACAATGAATTTTAGAAAAAGGTTGTTCACAATCAGCATCTCTATTAATAAACGGAAGTTGACAAGATTTACCCATCTGACAACTATCACAAATAGTCTTAATACTTTCATTATTATTAATAGTAATAAGTTGATTTTTGGACAGAAAATCAATTATTTTATATTGAGGGTGGCCTAAACGCTGGTGCCATCCTTCTTTATTTGTCTTTCTAAAACGATGAGAGAAGAGGGTTGTATGTCCATTTAGTGCATAAAGTCCTTCTCTTTGACCTCCTCTTGCTACTATTTCTTTTGTTCTTCGGTCCTTGATCACAAATCCAATATCATTAAACTCAACAGAAAAGGGTGAGTCTTTTGTAAGTTGACTGATAGATAAGAGATTTTTTGTAATTTGTGGAACAAGTAAAACTTTCTGTAATGGGATAGAATTATTTTCACCTTTGATTTCTGTATCTCCAACATGTGTAATCATTAATTTTTTTCCATTTCCAATCATCACAGAATCGCTTCCATGATATGGCTTAATATTAGTTAATTTACCTGGATTTGCAGTCATGTGACCAGAAGCTCCACTGTCAAGATGCCATTCTGAATCATCATCATCATTTGCAGTAATGGTTAGAGCAGCCAAAGCAGTAGGAGGGTGATCACCTTGATACGCATGATTGAATCTGTTGAAGCATTTCAAGGCAGTATGATTCCTTTTCCCACAAATTTGGCAAGCAACTTTGTTCTTGATTTCACCCACCACCCTTGAACTTGAATTGTTCTTATTTGGACTTGGTGGTTCACTGTGCCAATTTCTTGTGCTAGGAAATGATTTGTTGGCTTCCTTTCTGAAGTTCGATGTGGCACCTGGAATAAAACCACGACCTTTTGAATTGAAATGGTTATATCCATTACCTCGACGTCGATTCTAACCCCCATTAGTTTGCTTGCTGTAGAAAGCCATTTGAGGGACTTCTTGAGCACTAGAATCATGAAGTTGAGTCCGGGCCTCATGACTCTTAAGAAGTGGCACAAGTTCATGATATGAAGGTACTGGAGGTTTGAGCATTGTTGTCACAAAATTTTCATATTCCTTGCCTAAGCCTTGAAGTAGCCAGAAGACTTTGTTCTTATCCGGCATAGGTTTCCCAATAGCTGCAAGTTCATCACAAGTAGTTTTAAACTTACGAATATATTCGTGGATTGAATCATTACCTTTGCGCATTGTCGTCATTGATTGATTCAATTGAAACTCTTGCTCTTGTGAAGAGTGTGCAAATGCTTCCTCTAATGCATTCCATATTTCTGCAGACGTTTCAAGACCGACTGCAAGTCCAAGGACCTCCTCACTCAAAGTCCCATTTATCCATCCTCGAAGGAGACGGTCAGACCGTTTCCATGCTACAAAGTCAGGATTTGGCTGATCTTTGGTCACACCATCATCAGCACTAGTGACACAAGGCTTTGGCATAGGAGTTTCTCCATTAAGAAAGCCATACATGTCTTGACTCTCAACTAAGCCAAGCATTTGGGTATGCCACAAGAGATAATTATTTTGTTTCAAACGTAAGGAAATAAAGTTTCCCACGTTCAAAGTTGAAGGATAAGGATATTTGGTGGATGACGCCATTAGAGTTCAAGCTTTTGAGTTCTTCCCCACTGGCTCTGATACCAGTAAGATAAAATGAACAAATAGATTTGTGAGGAAAAACCCTTCTGCAAGATGCAAGAAGTGGTTGTAGTTTTCCATTTATATATAATTACAGGATGAAATTTGAATCTTAATTACAATAATTGTAGAAATAGCCGTTGGTTAAAATCACTGATTTGAAGCCTTAATGGTTGATTGCATCTTCCTATTATCTTGGAGATTAGTTGCTAGATTCTTGCTGGAGTCAATTAATTTTGATTTGCTGTGATTTTGAAAATCAAATGCCTTGCTTGAATCATGGACAGCATTTAAACTCGATGATCTTTGAGCCCCATTTAAACTTGATGCCTTGCTTGAATCATGTTGCCTTGAATCACGGATAGCATTTAAACCTAATGATCTTTGATATTTATCAAATGTGTTTACACTGTTACCAAAGTTGTGGCGATTTTAATGCTCTTAGGTACTAGTGATATTTTGGCTGCAGTTCAACAAAAAACTTGTGATATTTTGGCTTTAATTTTCAGTCTGTTCCATCGTTTGAGGAAGGGTTGTTGGAAAAGAAAAGAAAGTGAAATCGATGTTACTTCCATTGATGTGTCCTGTGGTGATGAGTTTGAGAATGGGTTGGGACCTAGCAAGTTCTCTTACAATGAATTGTCAAAAGCATCAAAGAATTTTGCAAATGAAGAGAAGCTTGGTGAGGGAGGATTTGGAGCAGTTTATAAAGGTGTATTGAGGGATTCCAATAGAAATGTTGCAATTAAAAGGGTTTGGAGGATGTCCAAACAAGGGATAAAAAGGTATGAATCAAAAGTAAAGATTATTAGTCCATTGAGGCATAGAAATTTGGTGAAGCTTATTGGCTGGTGCCATGAAAAGGAACTCTTATTTGCTTACGAGTTCATGCCTGGGGGCAGCTTGGATTTCCATCTATTCAAACGGAAAAGCTTGTTACCATGGGATATTAGATACAAAATTGCGCAAGGCTTAGCATCAACATTATTGTATCTACAAGAAGGAGATTTTTGTGTACTACATAGGGATATAAAAGCAAGTAACATTATGTTAGATTCGGCTTTCAATGCAAAGTTTGGAGATTTTGGGTTAGCTAGGTTGGTTGACCATGAAAAAGGTTCACAAACAACACTATTGACTGGGACTACAGGCTACATGACTCCTAAGTGTCACACAACAGGTAAGGCAAACAAGGAGTCAGATGTTTATTGATTTGGAGTTGTGGCACTTGAAGTTACGTGTGGTAGAAGGTCAATAGACCCCAGCTGTGATGAGCTTCTAGTGGCTTGGGTTTAGGAAGCACATGGGAATCAAATGCTTCTTGATGTAGCTGACAAGAAACTCTCTGCAAGTTTTAATGTGAAAGAGATGGAGTGTTTGTTGCTTGCTGGCGGTTATGGTGTGTGCATCCTTCCCCCAATATGAGGCCATCAATTAGGCAAGCAATCCAGGTGCTTAATTTTGAGGCAGCACTTCCAAACTATCATGTAAGAGGCCTATTTCCAATTATGATATCTCTATTACTTCAATCATCAAAGAAAGTGAACCTAATTCATTGAGCATTACCATCCCTCGCTAATTTTCATATCAAACCCCATGTAAATTCATGCTTATTATAAACAAGTGTGTTTATTGTTCGAGATTAATATGTATGCCTTGCATTTCATCTTGAATCTTCAATTCTTATGGCGTTTTTGTGCTTGTAAATCTGTTTATTTGAACAATTAAAATTTTTGTTAATCAGTAACTAAGCCAGTTGAGGATTTGTGCTTCCTTTTGAGTTACTAAATAACCAGTGGAATTGGTTAATGCAATTTCATTGAGAATCAATACCTCTTCACTGTCTCCTAAAAGATGCCCCAGTGTTTAGGTACTTAAGTCTCCATGTTGAAGATCTTTAGATTGTTGGGAAGAGGTTTGGGAAAGGGAAAACTACTTCTTTTTTGTATAGTCCATTATCTAATGTACCCAAAAAAAAAAAAAAAAGAAAAAAGAAAAAGCAGCCCTTCCCCAGGAATCAACACCATCATTTATGGGGATGCCATTGAAATTTGTTTCCCTAGACCTTAATTAGTTGTTAAACTAGCTTGTTTCTGCCTGATATATCAAAAAAGAAAAAGGCAATATCTTTGTTGAATGTAGCAATTTTAGATGTTCCGATGGACAGTTGATTAAGATTCAAATTCTAAGAAGACAGATAAACACTTATTCCTTTGGAAATTAGAGACTTGACCTTCGATTCCAATTCTCAGGTGGGCTCATTTCACATTATGAGATTTTTAACACCGGCTTTGCTTCACGGATCACTTTAGCATTTCTTGAGTTTAGAAAGCTTTTTCTTTGTTGTTTACTAGTTTCACCCAAGTAAATTTCAGCGTTTTCCCTTCTCTCACTCTATAGAACACAAATGTTGGATGGGTAGTTCATGTACAGTGCAATACTTGATAGAACTATCTTCATATGTAAACCACAAAACCACAGAAAAATGGGATTTTGGCATCCCATATGGATAGATTAGAGAAGCAACATTAGTAATCTGGATATCAAGCGGAAGACTTCCCTGATTTGATGATTTCACATTATTAACCTTCCTTTGTAAATTTAATGAAGGTTTTGCTTTCATGGTTCACCATAGTATTTCTACAGTTTTAGAAAGGTATGTGTTTTAACTTACTGCGACTGAAGCTGATTTGAAACTTTTATAGAGTTAGGTTGTTTTACACTATTGTTTGTTTATATACAATCCATTCTCCAGGAACTGGCGCTACCCAAACAGGGGACTCTCTGTTGTAGCTCTTTTAAGGAGGTGATATGCTGCCCTTTAATTTCCATGCCAAATTCCCACCAGCTGTCGTCTGTGTTACTAAACATAGACAGTTTCTTCTGCGAAGAGACTGCCATGTAACAATGAGTCACCAGAAACAATGTTCGCTCCACAAGACTCGTCATCCTCTCCCGTGAGAGATCTTTAATATTAAGCCGGAATACTTCTACATCATCCACAACTTTTGGTTTTTCCTAGATATATATATGAGAAAGATCATCAAAATCCTGCCATCGAATTCTACCAAATATTCAGTGAAATACTTCGAGAACACACTAGGAACAGCCCCTTTTGAACTCCAAGATGTATGTTACATCCAAAAATAGATTAATGGCACAAACGGACACGTGTAAGACTTCACAAGTGTTGACAACTCATTAAAATTCAAATAAAATGAAATCTGAAAATCAAGTGTTAAAATTAATAAAATTTTGAAGTTACTACTTGTCCAAATTATAAAATGGTATAACTCATTTCAAAATGTTCGATGCAAAGATCCGGATGTGGGGTACGATTGGGAATGAAGAATGTTATATACGCACCTCTCAATAGTTTAAAAAATATAATTGCATATTTTAAAATTGAGAGTTTATTTCTATTTTAAAATTGAGAGTGAGACATTTACACATGCATGAATGTGAATAGATGAAACTAGTAGCTTAGGACAATATTAAGACAATTATAAAAATGAGATTGCAATTGAAATAAATCGGAAAAGGTCGACGGAGTTGTAGCGAGTTTAAATGCATGGAGCAGATTTGAATAAATTGAGACTTCTTTTATGGTAAAAGTCGTTTCATTAAGCATGTTGAGGCATCAGGGTTTAATAAAAGAAAATCAGTCTTACTTACATCAATAAAAAATCATTTTATCCTTTAATTAGAATATGTTCTATTTGATGTTTGGATTAAAAATCCAATGAGAAAAATTAGATGTTTTAATACTTTAAATGTTAAGATTTCTTATATAATTATTCAAATAATTTTAATTCCTTTTTTAATATATTGATTTATTAAGGATATTTTACTAAATCAAACTTTCTATTTACACTCTGAATATTTTTTTGTAATCAATACTCTTTAGAATTTTTACTCCTAATCAATACTTTTTATAATTTAAAATGATAAAAAAAAACCTCAAATGAAAGTAAAAAAGGGATTTAATCTTGGTTTGAAGGTTAGGATTCTCTGAGGATATGTCCGAACACCTCAAGTCATCCTGTACCAATTCGAGCTACAACTTAAGAGATCAAGGTCCTCATCTCAGTCTTCACTCCCAATTGCACGAAAAGCTTATGAAAGCTCATTTTATCTGATTCATACTTTTATAAAAATTATTAAAACATCATGTTGTACTTTGAAAATCACTTGGGTGAACCACATGAATCCTATCCCTTGTCTATAAATATCCCTGGGTCCTAATCAAGGTACATTTCCAACTTATGGACTTTTTCTTATCTACTTTTACTGTAGGATAGATTATTGCTAACTTATCCAATAATCTATCCATCAAAATGCTACCCCAAAATCCACTCTCAAGTCTTTGCAGAACTAGTCACTTTCGACAATGGGCTTCAACAAGAAAGACTAGGGACCTAGTTCGTGAAATCAAAGATCGTTTAATATATAGGTCAAGTTGGTTTTTGTTGAAAGAATTTTTTAAGAGCATAAGATAAGGGTATAATAAATGTATTTTTTTAAAATTAAAAATTATTAAAATGGATATTAATTTTAACGTTATTATTATATAAATACATTTAATTAAATAATTAAATAATTAAATTTTATTTTTTATTTTTATAAAATTTTTAACATGTATAATTATACACAAGTCAGACAACCCCATGTTGAATTAATGTAAAATTTTGATGAAACCCATAAAAAAGTGCAGGAGAAAATGGGGATCGTACGGATCTGTTTTTTTCGGTTTTTCGTTCAGTATCCGGGGCTTCGTCCCGACTAATCCGGATCGACTCGCGTCGCGCACCTAGAAATAGTGGGTGAGTCTCCCAATGAGAGCTGCTGCGTTCACAAGGTTTCGAACTCGAGATCTTACTTAAGCTGGAACAAGCCGCTTACCACTTGATCCAACCCCTCATTGGTATCATGCGGATCTGTTAAATTAGGAGTAAATGACCTGTTAAGTGGGGTGTAAATAAATAGCGGGTCGTTTAAGAATCGTGTTGACTAGGTGCTCAAAATTTATAGGCGTATCGAGTGGGAGACACTTATTTAAAAAATTTTTAATCCATGCGCTCTTGACCGGGAATGAAAATTGCGTATAAGCTTTTTAGGAAAACTTATTTACAAATTTTTAAGTCTTTTATAACATATGTTAGATAAATTTTAAAAAAAATTTTAATTTAAGAGTATATGTTAAAAAAATTATTTTTTAATCAGTGCACTATTGATTGAGGATGAAAATTATTACGTTAGGAAATTTTTAGGATAGAGGTAAGGTATTATATTTTTTATTATTAATTTACATAAATAAAATAAAAGTTGATTTAACTTTTATTAATTATTTAATTAAATCATTTTACTTTTTATTGATGTTAAAAATAAAATTTATTTTTCTAATTTTTTATATAAATTTATAATATAAAAGTATAATAAATATATCCTTAATTTTATATTGAAATTATATGTTAGAAAATCTCAATTATTTATATGGCGCCAATGGAGAGCTTAGCAAAACGGAATAATAAAAAAAAAATTGAATCCATTAACATTTCGATTCTGATAGTTTATTAGTTTATTTGCAATCAAAATAAAAATGTAATTTAATACATTGGAGTATAGCATGTAATGCCTTACACCTTATTTGTCTGGAAGAGGTGGTTTTCAATACTAAAGAATTTAAGACTTTATACTCGAGATTTTAAAATTTTAAAGTAAGTAAAGAGAAGCTTAAAAAAAAGAAAATTTCGTTCATTCATTATATATTGCTTCTTCGGTTTCGTAGTGGAATTATTTGATCGAATTGATGAGCAACTTTTGTCCGTTTCATTAATTAGCAATTGATCTTCAATTAAGAGATTTCAATTACGCTCCCTTTTGGCTATATATGTTTGTCCAAACAGGCAAGGGACTCAAAGCTTTGATTTTTCATCTTGCGGTCACTCATTCGTTTACATGGGTAAATAAAAGGTCATGACTCATGAGCGATAAGCATTTATGTGTAACGCAGATCTATAGAATATTTTTCTTAAAGTTGTTCTATATTGTGTGTATATTTTTTATTATATAAGAGAGTTAAAATTCTCTCAAAGGCTTGAATAGTCCTAGAGAGACTCATTAATACTTTGTCTTCCCCCATATTTCAGTCATATTTTTCTAATTTATTCTTCTAATATTTTATATATTTTACCCTTACTAATTTATTTTCTTGAATATGAGGAATTTGGAGGGGGGCGATTGGATACTCTTTAGAGTAATTGGAGGAACAGTAGAACTCCCACCCTCATGGCCCAAACTTCTATTTTCCAATTGACTTAAGGAAAATGGAAGGGAGGGGAGGAAAATAGAAGAAAATGACATTCTTTGATTTCTCTTCCCTCTCATATTTGTTTGATTAGATTAAAATATAAAAGAATTGAAAGCAAAATAATTAGGGAAAACTCTCTCTTCTCTAATTTCATATTATCCAAATAGGAAGTTTCTCTTCTTCTCATTCCCTCACTTCCTCTTTCCTCAACTCAACAAGTTAGTAGGCTTAGAGAGTAAACTAATTGGCTGATGGGTGCAAATTAATACAATATTTTATTATTTTTGTGTGAAAAATGATTAAAAGATAATTTTTTATACATTTTTTTATATAACGTTACTTATTATTTAATGATTGACTCTTTTTACTTCACTTAAACTCATAATATTATATATATCAATTATTTAATAACAAGTAAAATTTGTAAAGAAAAGTTTTCAAAAGAATTGTTTGCGTATTATTTATGGTCATAGAATAATAATCATATGATGCCTATTTTCAAAGTCTTGTGGAACAAAACCTTTCCTCCCTAAAAATACGCTAATTTTTTCTTTTATTTTAAAAAATATGCTAGATATTCAAACAAGGCCTAACTTTTTCTTGACGTACAGTTAAAGACTTTGGTTGAAATTGCTTATTTTTAATTATTTTAAATTATATAATAAAAAACAATTCCTATATCGTTACATATTTTATCTGAATACTTATGATACAAACTTAGGATCTTTTAATTTACTTTAGGAGAGATTAATTACCACCGAGGGCTTAGGTCATTATTTTGCTTATGTAGTTTCATTTCATGTTTTGTTTGTTCCAACATTAGATATTATCAAGCTACTTGCATTTTTACCTAAAAAAAAAAAATCAAAGCACATTTGCCCCGAAGGTTCTTTGTTTTTTTTTTTTTTTTTTTTTTTTGTTTTTTTGAACAGCAAAAAATAATATTTATTAATAAACGGAGTATAAAGGGTACCCCAAACCCATAAATATCATAACTTGAAAGGCATCATATTACATGAGTGGAGTAACCCTTTCATATGATATCGACTCCTGAATTATGTGTCAACACTACGTCCGTGTCTAAGTATGTTTACCATATGGTGTCGACACAAAAATTATGTGTCGACACTATACCCGTGTCGAATTTCTGTCCTCCTTTGCAGTTTCTTCATATGAGCTCATCAATGTTAATTCCATCTTTCAGATCATTCCCACTTATCACACACTAAAAGATTGAATAACAGTCGGCTTTCTTTACATAATCATGCAGAAAGAAAAATGAAAGTAAAGAACCAAATTAAACACTATGCAATTAAATGTTATTCATCACCACAATTAGGTTCAGCACTTATCTTCTCCCCACCCAAAAGGGTCTCACCTCCATTGTATGGTCCTTGTCAAATGTCTGCCCTCTTTTTTGTGAAGGCTGTAAGAGTGCTCAATCTTGGTTGTTGTATCCAATCAAAGAGTGTGATCCCTTTTCCTTCACCTTTGAGTTTAAGCCACTGGAATGAACGAGTTTGCACCAAGTCAAATAGTTTCACTTCATCTAAGTGTTTGTTCTGGAATATTACCTCATTTCTTGCCAGCCATATTGTCCAAGTGATTGCAAACCATATAATGTCCCAACCTATTTTAACTGTTGTGTTGCTGAAAAGGTCTTTGTGCTGGTTAAAGGCATCCCAACATGTTCCAGGCATTACATGTTCAACTCCCCACCATCGAAAACATTTTGACCAGAGATTAAAGGCTGTTTTGCAGTGTAGAAATAGGTGGTTTGTGTCTTCAACAACAGTAGTGCAAAAGACACAGGTGAGTCCATCTTGAAAGTTACACATCCCTCGTTTTGACAGGTTAAGTTTGAAAGGAATGCGATTTTGAACTAGTTTCCAAGTAAAAGCACATACTTTAGAGGGGATGTTACCATTCCATATCCTGGAGGATGTTACCATTCCATATCCTGGAGTAGATGCTAGGATCACTAGGTTCACCATCAGCAGCAAGTAAGGAGTAGGCTTCACTAGTGTTGTAAATACCATCCTTGCTGTGCACCCATCTCCAAGTATCCTGAATTCCATGTTGGATTTTAACCCCGTTTAGGATATTCATAAGGGGATCAATCTGAGCTCTTTCTCTCTGCAAAAGCATCCTTCTCCATGGAAGATTCCAGCTTCAAGTGCCATTTATCCAGTTCCCCATTTGGTTGATTGAATGTTGTTTGTTGGTTTTTTTAAAACAAAGAAATGGAGAGAACCGAGAGGAAGATGAAAAACAGAGCATAAGCTGAAATGGAGAGGAGTATAGGACTCCAACTCACTTTTCTCATTAACAAACTCTCCTATATATAGGAGAATACAAACATTTCAAAATTCAAATCTATTCTA